CTCTTTATCGGTCTCTAGTTCCTAAAGAAAAATACTGAAGTCTTAAAATTTGCTTTTAGGCCAAGACATTTCAACCTATACAACAGACATATACGACAAACAGTCATGGCTTCTGAGAGAAGAACCTCACTCCACAATTAACTTTATTTAGAAATACAACAAAACAAGACGCTCCGCCCAGGGCTCTTAATTCTCAGAATCAATTTACTCTGTCTTAAGCATTGTTTCAAAAGACCTTTACAAACAGAGAGTGAATTGCCTTCAGCCCAGAAGTCTGGGTTAAAATACACCGTAGAAGGAGGATTAGCTGGCTGCATCGTTTGATTTGTGGCGAAAACCTTTCAAGACTCGTTCTTGTAAAGTTCTTCAAGCCAAGTTCAAATGGTGAGAGATTTCTACCTTGCTCTGTACCTAGCCTTCATCATTTAATTATTTTACCTATGATGATTAAAAAAAAAAAAAGAGAGAGAGACAAAAACTTCTGAGAAAACATGAGCTGCTGGACCGCTACAGAGGACAGTATTTTAACTGCCATTCTCTGAAAATGAAGTGGTATGAACCCTTTGGCAGCCAATCACTAATTTCCAAAATTCTGTCATAACATGTACTGTTTGTTGAAATTTAAATGCAGACGGTAAAAGAGGAGGGAAAAAGAATCAATTTGTATTTATTATTTCTCCATCATATTTCTAAAGGCGAGGTAAATTTTTGAATTAAATTTAGTTATATGAAACCTATCCAAAAACCCCATGTAGCAAACACAAAACACACACACACACTTAGGATTACTAGTTTTTTAATAAGTTCTAACTAACGGCTAGGGGGAAGAGTAAATAACTAATTTCAATAAATAAATAAAAACATTTCAATCTGTGTTAATTTAAAATTAGTCACCTATTAAATTAAATAAAATAGATTAGATTAATTCAAAAAAAAATTACCTTCAGGTCTTCTGGTAGGCTGCTGTAGTCTATCTGAATTGCCTCTTCTCTTTCATAGATACTTGATGTAGTCTGAGTGTCTTCTATTTCAGTTCTTAGCTATAGATATAAAGGACATACCAGTTCAGAAACATGAGAGTGCACTTCTAACACTTAAAACGACCCATTAAAAGGACATAAGAAAAGGAGATAGCGGTAACAGGACAGGAGGGAAACAGTAATTTTTCCACTGATCTCCCCTACGCCCACCAAACCTGCTGAAGCTGGTTTAGATGAATCTCAATCTCTTTATCGGTCTCTAGTTCCTAAAGAAAAATACTGAAGTCTTAAAATTTGCTTTTAGGCCAAGACATTTCAACCTATACAACAGACATATACGACAAACAGTCATGGCTTCTGAGAGAAGAACCTCACTCCACAATTAACTTTATTTAGAAATACAACAAAACAAGACGCTCCGCCCAGGGCTCTTAATTCTCAGAATCAATTTACTCTGTCTTAAGCATTGTTTCAAAAGACCTTTACAAACAGAGAGTGAATTGCCTTCAGCCCAGAAGTCTGGGTTAAAATACACCGTAGAAGGAGGATTAGCTGGCTGCATCGTTTGATTTGTGGCGAAAACCTTTCAAGACTCGTTCTTGTAAAGTTCTTCAAGCCAAGTTCAAATGGTGAGAGATTTCTACCTTGCTCTGTACCTAGCCTTCATCATTTAATTATTTTACCTATGATGATTAAAAAAAAAAAAAAGAGAGAAGAGACAAAAACTTCTGAGAAAACATGAGCTGCTGGACCGCTACAGAGGACAGTATTTTAACTGCCATTCTCTGAAAATGAAGTGGTATGAACCCTTTGGCAGCCAATCACTAATTTCCAAAATTCTGTCATAACATGTACTGTTTGTTGAAATTTAAATGCAGACGGTAAAAGAGGAGGGAAAAAGAATCAATTTGTATTTATTATTTCTCCATCATATTTCTAAAGGCGAGGTAAATTTTTGAATTAAATTTAGTTATATGAAACCTATCCAAAAACCCCATGTAGCAAACACAAAACACACACACACACTTAGGATTACTAGTTTTTTAATAAGTTCTAACTAACGGCTAGGGGGAAGAGTAAATAACTAATTTCAATAAATAAATAAAAACATTTCAATCTGTGTTAATTTAAAATTAGTCACCTATTAAATTAAATAAAATAGATTAGATTAATTCAAAAAAAAATTACCTTCAGGTCTTCTGGTAGGCTGCTGTAGTCTATCTGAATTGCCTCTTCTCTTTCATAGATACTTGATGTAGTCTGAGTGTCTTCTATTTCAGTTCTTAGCTATAGATATAAAGGACATACCAGTTCAGAAACATGAGAGTGCACTTCTAACACTTAAAACGACCCATTAAAAGGACATAAGAAAAGGAGATAGCGGTAACAGGACAGGAGGGAAACAGTAATTTTTCCACTGATCTCCCCTACGCCCACCAAAACCAAAATAGAGTTCCTAGTTAACAAACCCAGTGATTCTAATAGAAAGGCACCTCTTATATGAAGATTAAAATATCTGCCAATTTCAGTTTAAAATTAAGATGAAACCAGCAGTAATTTATTTGTAATATACTTAGAACAATGAACATACCGTATATCTACACCATTCTCTCCTGAGTAGGAAGAATTCCCTTTCCCATGACAATTCATTCCCTTTCAAGGGAAAGCTCTGACATTCGTAAATCAGGGCATTTCTTCCACTCCGCTGGCCTCAGAAGAAACGACTGGCCTCAATGCCTTTGCGTAAGTAATTGTAGGCTTGGATTACAAACAACTACTCACTCTTGAACGAGTGTTGCATGTCATAATCAGCCTCTTTTCCTGCAAAGTTTCTTTTTCAGAACCGTATCTTACCGTCTTCTCAGTGATATGAATTAGGAATGAACTTTGTAATGCTACTGCCCCCTCCTTGGTTTCATCTCTTCCTTATTCATAAACCATGATATAGCTGAGGTAACAACATACTCTGATGATGATCAGTACCTCTTTCCC